TGAGCACTTGGCTGAAGAAAGACTGTAGCTTTCTGTAGCAAGCAAAGGAAAGCCAAACCCAAGATACTGAGGCTGCCGGATCCAGTTCTTCTTGTCAAGTTAGATGTTAATGTTTGTTTTGGTGCCCAGATCAAAGTGTCAGAACACTTGGGGTTAGTGCTTTATCTGCTGGCTTCTATTTGGCAAGAGTAGTCAGTGGAAGTGGAGCCTTTCTGTTGTTTTCAAAGATGCACCCAACTCCTTTTAATGATGTGAAAAATGTATTTGAATCCTGCCTTGTTGTTGTTTTCAGTTGCCATTTGCGGTCCATTTTGGGGGGACTGGAATAAAAACCATATGTTCCTGGTAATGAGCCTTCTGCCAATATCTTGACATGGAGGTGAGGATGACAGGGATTTCTGGGTGGCCTGTTTTGCTTTTTTGTCACTTCAAAGAGTGATGTTCCTGTTTTTAATGCTGATAATGTTATAATAGTCAGGATGGCCTCGCTTGAATGTTGTGGGTGTCAGAAAATGTAGTTTTAGTAGTAAAATGCCACTAGGCAGGCCACCTAATCTGGAAGTCCAGCTGTAGCACTCAACTGACTGGCTGTTTGGGGCACTGGCACACTGAGCCACATCAGGTCACCTCCCCTTGGAACATCTGTTACAGCTGGGGAAGGACCACTGGCCCTTCAATAGGTACCCTGGAATGCTTCCGCCTTTTCTTTCTAATGCACTGGCTGGTCTAATGTCTGATGAGGAGTGAAGATGAGACAGAGTGATCCATTTTCATATTTTGAGAGGTTGGCTTCTTTGTTTCAGGTACTAGCTAATAAATATTCATTTACCCAGTAACTGGGTAGGACAAGCAATGATACCAACAGTGTGAAATTCCAAATAATGAGACAAGCATTACTCATAGGTGACAACTGATGCAGAGTAACCTCTGCCTGAGTACAGTATGAATCCTGTAGATGAGGCAGTAAAATCAATGTGAATCTATTCACCACAGCTATTTTTTGTATAACTGTAAAATAATTGTCAGTGTATACGCCAGGCTGATATCCTGGACTCAGGAATTAACTCCTGCTTAGGAAAATTCTCACCTCTGGCTTGTCTTTTGTCTGTGCCCAGATTCTGTCCTAGGCCAGTCCCCAGCTGTTTTGCTATACCACATGCATAAGGTACAGTCTTACCGAAAGTCAATAATTTACTGTTGATGGTGCAGCCAGTACAGCTAAAGTGATTTACTTAAAAACAGAACAAACACAACAGTGAGAAACGCCTAGATCTTTCCTCTGAGGCATGTTAAATCTGTGAATTGGGAGGAAGCATGGAGTCTTCCCTTTCTTCCCTGTGACTTGGGTGAACACTGGCCTTACTGCTTCCTAGTTCAGAGCCAGTTGACCTTGGCCCCTAGACCTCCCTCATCAGATACCTTTATTGGCTCTGAGTTTAAGCTTATGGTGGGTGGGCCAAGACTCAGGTATTACAATAGATTGTCCATTTGTCCTCAGAGTCTTTCTGGAGAGAGATGTTGCCATCCATTCCATTTCCTCTCTATACCAGATACAAAGGCTGCATAAGTAAACAAAGCATATTTTCAAAGTCTGGTCTCTAGAACCCACTTTACATAGGTGGTTTGAGTGGAGGTTTCTCAGTTCTGCTACGAAAATAGAACCCTTGACCTTATTAAAAGAGCCAAGCCACGCCACCTAGGGGGACCTCTCTTTGTAAAGTAACTGAGAAGCATTGTTAAATCAGTGAAGAGGAAAGGCTCCTTTCTGGGGTGATGCATTCAGTTGTCTCTTAGCTGTCTTCTTTGTGGGATTTTTATGTAAAGTGACTTTCATTTTTCCCTCTTTGTGAATGAAATGCACTAGCTAAGGCTTAAATGTTTCTGAATTTTATAAGAAATGTGAAATAGTCATTTTAGCATCTTTGTTCCAGGATGTCAAAGACTTAATCCAGTAAATCCCAAATGAGGTTTCATATCTTTCCTTCTTTCCACCCCAGGTAGTAAAGATACCTGCCATGGCAACCTCACACATGGTAATGGAAGGGGAGAACTGTTTGATTTCCCATAAAAAGTGAGAGCCACTGTTCTAACTAAGGAACTACCCAGTGATTTCTAATTCATGAAAGAAATTTGTGTTTCAGAGCAGGGTCAGACATAGCGGACTCTCTCCTGAGAGAATTCTGGGCACCATAGAAATTCGTTCATATATTGCCTACAAATAACTGATCATTTAAATTTCAAATAGCTGGTATGTTTGAGAAGAAAAAGTGGGTCAAAAAGGGAAGACTGGTTCGTGCAGAGGACTGAATTAGCATCAGGCTATGAAATTTCATTACAGTAACATTAAGGCCTGGCTATTTGCTTAGCATGCAAATGCTGCAATGTCACTTAGAGAAAATGCCTCATATGCCTTAGAAAACGTGTGAAGGCTCCCTGATACTGGGTGGAATTGGAAAGCAGCAGCTTTGGGACTTGTATGCATCGGGAGAGTGGCCCACGGGTTCTCCTACTGAAGAGCATTGTGGAGTACTGTGAAATGTTGTTGAACTTTACACAAATCATGCTGCACTGGATTTTAAGATTGGGAGTGGAGAGAGTGGAAGAGGATGGGGGAGTGATGGCAAAATTATATATATATATATGAACTTGTACTAAATTTTAAGCAAGAAACGAAACATTCCCTATCAGGACTGTGAAGTTCTGTCAGGTTCTTCTGCCCTCCTGAGTCAGCTTGCTGATTCCTTTGAAACCTCTTAGAAGTCCTTTTGGAAGCAGCTAACCAGAGGCTAGTCTGACCACAGTTTCAACACCTGCCCTATCCCTCTCCTCTCAACAAAAGAAAGATATTCCCAAACTCTAGGCAGAAGCAATGTGTTCTGTCCCAGCCATTCACTTTTCATCTGCTGTGGTCTGTGTTCACAGGTTGAGCCCATTGCATTTTTTGTGATCTCATGGCAGACCTTAAAGAGAACTGCCAGTTCAGTCAGGAACCAAGAGCTCCTCCTTTCAGAAATCTGAAAATCAGAACTCTCAGTTTGGGGCAGTTCAGCATATGTGAGGAAAGGGGAAAGTACATTGGAAGAGAAGGAGAGAAGACTGAGGGTTCAGACAGAAGAGTCATGTAGCCAAAACTCAGTTTCTGTCAGATGAACATGGTCTGAAAGAAATCTGTTCTCTATGGTGCTTATCCGGTGGGTGACACTGTCCCCACCCACTGTCCCTGGCATTGTGCCTTCCCACTGGTCACTGTGAAAAGCAGATCACACTGGACTCAGAGGCCAGACTCTAGGACAATTCCCCCTCATTTTGAGCCCACCACTTCTGCGTACAGCTAATAATGTAGCACTTAGTTCTCTTTGGAAAACTCTTGGGATTGTCCCCCAAGAAATAGTAAAGCGTTTAAAGGAAAACAGTGGTAGCTATCAAATAAGGAGATTACAAGGAAGTGTCACTTCCTCTCGGCTGATACTGATTGATAGCAAGCACCTACAATGCCCCCTCCGCCTGAGTTTTTAAAGGCTACCATAATATTTGTAAGCAACGAACTTATGTAACATTTTTTCACAACTTGTTAATCAAGGATTCATATGAAAACAGACAATCAGTTTCTAAAATGCTGTTATCCCTGAAAGGGAATGAGGTAGTTTTTAACTATAAGAACCTACCAGTCTGTTTTTTCCCTTTGAAAAAACTAACCCTTGCAGTTTGTGTCTTTCATCTGCAGCGATTACTCCAGGTCGCTTAAAGATGCCTCAGACAAGTCAGTGAGCCAGGCTAGCGCCCTTGCACCTCAGAGGGTGCCGGGCTGGTTTGCGCATCTTATTTCCTTGGAGAGTATTGATCTTTATTATGACCTTAATTATAAATACCTATATATAGGAATAGGATTTCCTCTCACCCCACCCTCTTTTAATCATTATCATTTAAGTGTAAACCACCCCCCCACACACACCCCTTTTACTGAAAAAATGCACTTTAATTCCTAAGGAGAGTGGCTGTTTCCAGCCCTAAAGCCAGATTACTTCAGGAGGAGAGTTGAGGAGGGAGAACTATTTTGCCAGACCCTGTGAAATTAACCAAATTCCTTAATGTAAACACACAAATAATAACATCCATTTTTAAGCCGCCCCCACCCCCAGCCAAAGGGAAAATGAAACAACCAAAATGAAAAAGTTCAAAATGCCTACTCTGATTTTAAAAGTTTCACTGGGGAACCCAATATTAAGTTATTTTCTCAGCTACCAAACTATCAGAAACTTCTGGGTTGTTTTGTGGGAGGCTGAGATGTTTTTCATTAGAAAGTCAAGTGAAAATACAAAGGCTATAAAATGAGTCTGACTTGTGTCATTTCTAAATCTCAGCCCTTAATTTGATAGGTGTGCTCAGTCTCTCCTCCTGTAGGTTCTGTCCTTCCCCTGATGACAAGCCAATCTTTCTTGGTGGGTTGCATGCCTCCTAGAGCCCAGGAGCCCTGTTGTGTCGGGGAGGGGGGAGGGCAGGAAGGTGGGCGGAGACTGGGGTTGGGGGCGGGAGATTCCGAGAAAGAGTGAAGAGATGGGTTTATATAAACATATTTAAAGCAGCTTAGCAAAAGCTTTCTCGTTGGACAGCTTTAAGAACAATGTGAATGAAATCTTAGCAACTTGGTTAGTAATCTGAAAAGTCTATTAATGTATACTTGAAAATCTGTATAAAGATACATTTTCCTCTTTATTTTAACACTGTGTAAAAGAACATTATGCATGTGAGTGGTTTGAGAATTAAATGGTTTAATACTCAGATTTGAGTCTGTTTTTCTGTACATAGAGATTAACGCGTTTTAAAATGGGGGATTTTTTTGTACGGTGGGAATACCGAGATATCAAGCCCCCCTGCCCTTCCGGGACGCCTACCACCTTTCAGGATGATGCAGTCACATATCCTTCACTTCCTTTACCCAGATGTGTTCACTGGTAGCAAGTAAAAATCATCATTTTACCAAATGCCCAATAGCATGTCTAGCAGTTTCTCCCTTCCTTGTCTGTATTTCAGGTGGCAATGTCCATTCATACTGGTGAGATGGAAGTAATTGTATTTATTTTTACCTCTGTTCACAAACCAAATAGGAGGAGGTGCAAGGAATAAGAACCCTCTAGTTCACACAAGGGCTGGCTACTCTGCCCATGAAGATGATAGTATTCAGAGCAACTTCCCTTATAAGAACCAGGAAGGGCCTGTTGGCCTTGAAGATCACCCTGTTGGGGTTCAGCGAACGGCCAGCAATCACGATGGCGGTACTAGCTGCTGCTTCACTGCCTTCCTCATTCACCTGCAGGTCAAACAGGAAACAAACTGCTGCATTAGCTGCTCTGCTCTGCGTCTGTTCCTTAGATGCAGGGACCTCACGCATACACACAGCCACTCCAAGCACTATCTGCCATCCAGTGGGAAGTGCCTTTGGGTCAGCTGGGGTTCCCTCTGGAACCCCACTGTTCCTCATTCTTCCACCCAGTGAATATTGATGGAGGCATTTGGATTCATCCAAGCTTTTGGCTGGATCCTCAGATAATTGCTGAACCAGAAATCTGAATGGAGACAAGGATATCACATTCCTGCCTGGCACATGGTACATGGTATTTCAAGGGGATTATGTTGTACTCAATGCTAAAAGAAATTTTGACTCAGGATCAGAGCTCTACCGTTGAAATAGTTTCACTCTTGGAGCATCAGGCTCCCAGATATAAGTACCCCAAGCAGCCACTCAGGACCCAGGGCCTATGAAAAGAGGAGGACCCTCTGGCTGGAGGAGATGGCTTGGAGTAATAGACTGAAACAATGGTATTTGAATTTGCTGATAAGCAGAAGCGCCACCAGTCTAGAGGAAGATGCCTTTGGAAAATTGTACTTGGGGACCCAGAATATCACTAAAACTGTGCCTCTTCATGGTAGTCCTCTGCTGGCTCCTTTCCCTTAATGCTTGTGTCCGTGTTTCACCGGCTTCAGGAGAGACACAGGAAGGGAGGTGGGAACAATGAGACGCCAGGGCTTCAGGGCAGGGCTGTGTTGTAGCTGGCCTCACAAGGAGGGGGCAGTTCAAGCATCTGCTAGCTCTACTAGGACAGCCAGTGAAACAAGAACTCCAGAATTACAAATCACAGGAGATACTGATGAACGAATAACAAAGCAGCATGGGAATAAAAAAGAAGAGAGAGCAAAGGGAGGTGTACTCACCTCAAGAAATGCCTTATGGAATGCGTCTGAGACGAAGAGGTCGTCACGGCCTCCGGCAACAATACCTACAAGGAAGACCAGAGAAGGCTCTGTGACATGGGAGAAAGGAATCCAGATTCATTAAGAGGCCCTTTGGGGCTTCTTTGAAAAATAGGAAGCCATTCTGGACCCTCACTTAATGACATCCTCAAAATGCCATTATGGAAACAGTAAGAACATACGCAGGGCTTCTCAGCCTGGCTCTGTGCACTGAGTCTCGTGCTTCAGTCCTTGGTGGGGTAAGGGGGGAAGGGGACAGGGACTCTGTTCTTAAAGAAAAACTCACTCCATCTGGTAGGAATGTCTTTCTTTCCAGTCTGGCAACATTTTTGAGAGAGGGATTGGTTTTCAGACCTAGTTTAAAGATAGGCCATTAAAGGTCAATCCAGTTACCTAACTATGTAAGCGGAAAGGTTTGGCTGTGTCTGTCCAAGTGACCTCGAGAGAAACACATGAGCCCTTTGGAATAGCAGGTAAAGGGCTACCAGATGTCAGCTACCCCCATGTTGTGGGACCCAGATGTCCCCAGCTTTTCATCAGATCTATCTCTGCTCTGAATTTGATGCCTTTTCAAGTTCTTCTCTACCGGCTCTCATCTCCTCTATCAGCGACAGACTCAAAGGGTTCCCGTGCCAGCTGGGCCAGCGGAGAACCAAGAGCTACCTCCCCCTTTTCCAGAAGAAAAAGCTGAGGCCTGGAGAGGAAAAGGGAGTTCCCTGCATTCCCAGTAGAACTGGATTAGACCCAGGTGTCCCACCTGTTCTCTTTTCTACTCTCCCTCCCACTCTTCCACCTTTGGTCAGACCCCGTTGGGGGCAGATGAAGGAGTAAAGTCTTTTCTCCACTAACCCGGGAGCTTGGATTTCTCCGGACTGAACAGGTCCACGAGGCCCATGTCCTGCAGCTTCTCCTTCACACTGAAGCTGTCCTCGATGCGGAAGCGGGGCATGTGGACCACCAGCATTGTCTCCGCCAGCTCATCCAGCCACTCCTGCAGCAGCTCCGGGCTGAGCTCCTTCTCCACCTTGGCCAGGCTCTTCTCACGCTGGGGCAGGATGAGCACCATGGTGATGTCATCACCCTTGAAAGGCAACTCGAGCACCTGGGTGCCTTCTGCCACGCGCCGATAGCGGAACTTGCCCTCTTGGTACATCATGGATGCCGAGCACGACTGCCCATCGGCCTTGAAGAAAGGTTCTAACCTTGTGTTCTCAGAGCTGAACTTGGACTTCCATAGGCCCTGGAAGAAGACGCCAGGTGGAAGAATCACAAAGCAAGAAGACACCCCCCCCCC